AAAGACAACCAAGAAACTAAGCTCATTCGACAAAAGATACCAAAAAAAGAATGGAAGAGACAAGAAGGGTATTTAATACCTCTGAGCTTTAAAGTCCTTCATGACTTCAAGAAAAGTGTCATACTTGTCTTTCTTGTCTTGAAACATATCTTTCACAGCTTTGAGATAGCTCAAGCCTCAAGGCATCACCTGTTGTTAGTCCTCCCATCGTTAAAGGCTTACTATTTCTGCATCATCACAAACATATAAAAGTTTAATTCGAATCTTGTACCCAAAACAAAAAACAGAATTTGAATTAAAAAGGACAAATAAAGTAACTTAGGATTTAGACCAGACAAGGGAGCTTACGTTTCTCCTCGAGACGAAACAGTATGTCCTCCTCGTATATGAGGTTCAACGTAAACCTCATCTCTAACCCTCTTCATCTCTTCTGAATTAACGCAAAAACAAAGATTCACTGTAACCTGAAACCAATAAGAGTTGGAGAAGAAACCTTGATGATGGAACAAAACAAACAATGAAACAAACACATAACAAAAATAATACAAGAGTTAAAGCAAAGATTTTAAGTCCAAATAGATTTCAAATTTTGTCTGAAATAAATAACCTTTGTACATGCATGTACGATGATCGGACTCCCATCAATGAAGTTTAGAAGCTCATGAATCATGAGGAAGAATAGAAGCCACATCGAAGAAGAAGAATCGATTTTGACGGTGCCTTCTCGCCTTCTCGGTTTAGCTTCTCTGCTGCAACTGGAAGACGAAGCAGTCACCAGAAGCACCGTCGGACATCGAACGGCCATCGTCGGAGTCATCTCGGTTAGCTCCTCTTCTCACGGTTGGAGATCTCATCGTCATGTCCTTCACTCTCTCACTTTTTTTTTCCAGGAGATTAAGCAAATGAAGAATGAAGATTCTAGATGCGGGCTCTACAGTGACCCGCGGATGACTGTGGGCCTTCCCGCAAAAAGCCTGATCCGTACAAGCCCACTCCCGCAATGCCCGCTATTTTGCGGGCTGTTGATATCCCGGCCCATACCCGCCCCGCAACAAACCCTAACGTGCCTGGCCCGCGGTCCAATCCCTCCATTGACATCCCTAATTGTGCATGTAGGTGAAACTTTTCCAAAAGTTTCACTTTGTCATTGTACAACTCTGTAAAATTTTGCTTTATGATTCTTCAAGTAGCTGAAACTTTCCCAAAGTTTCACTTTGTCATTGTACTACTCCACTTAACTTTATAAAAATTGTAATAGATATACGTCAAGAATATAAGATAGAAGAGACATCTTCCCTATTATCTCATAAACAAACAAAATGAAGAGTTGCAACAAAGTTTAAGAGTATCATAGAGGAGGTAGGGAAAGATAACAACAAGATTACAAAGAGCCGACTCATCTCATGGACAAGTTAGCTCAGCGAATATCTGCGGCCATCTCATTCGCACACTTAATTAACATTTCGACCTCTTGCTCGACAGACAAGACCCATGGTTGACGGAACTGGAGGCCATCATTCTGCTTATAAAACCAGAAAGTATCAAAATCTGCTTATTAAAACCGAAGGATCCATAAATTACCACAAAGTTGATGCAAGTGACGTATTTTCTCCCTGGAAAAATTATCAACATCGGTGGGGCACTTTAGATCCGAAAACACATCTCTTATGATTCTCCGCCCCACCCCCCACAACGGCAGCTGGTAGGATTCCCGTACTGGGTATCCACCACAAAACCAAGCCTATCGATGTGTTTCTTCAAGGTCTTCATGTGCATGTGCTCCTCGTAGGGATGATTCATGATTCCAAGTTAGGAAGAAGAGGAGGAATAGAGAGAGGATTCAAAACAAGAGAGAGAAAGTTAGAGAGAGATATGGTTCAGATAAATGGGCTTGTACTTGACAAGCTTGAACCTGCTCATGAAGTCGTGGAGAGGCTCGTTTTCTGTCTGGGACAAACTCCAGAGATCAACGTTAGAGGTTTCTCTATCTATGAACATAGAATACTGCTTGAGAAACTCTGAAGCGAATTGGCAAAAACTTCCGATAGAATTTCGCCTAAGTTGGGCGATCCACTCGAGTGCTGGTCCCTCTTGGTTTTCAACGAAGAGGCAACAATAACCGATGTCTCTTTGGCTTTCCTTAAGTTTGGCTCTACCCATTGTGGTCTGGAAGGCTTGCAGTTCTGCCTTGGAATCAGTGGTGCTGTTATACATTGGCACCTTGATCTTTCCAGGATCAGACACTGTTGGGGTCAATATCGGTTACGAGGGAATCAACGATCAAAACTTTCCGCAAAGTTAAGAATAGGTTTTAAAAATATGAAGAAGCGTCGAGAAGAATTCTAACGATTTTCTGAACAAAGGACTTCCTTAAACTTAACAACCGTCATCTTGGAAATCATTGGAAAATCGAATAAAACAATCCACGATTGTCCGATTGGCCAAATTAGCAAGAAACGATCGAAACTAAACAACCGACCAGCTCGCCGGCTGGGCAAGCTGAACTATCCCATCCAGCTCCCCAGCCGGCGAACTGGCCGTGCTTGACCAGCTCATCGACCGGCGAGCTGAAATGTCCCGTCTAGCTGGCCAGCCTTCAAGCTGGCCGAGAACTGTCCTATCCGGCTCGCCAGTAGGCGAGCTAGCCGTGCTTGACCAGCTCGCCGACTAGCAAGCTGAACTGTCCCGTCCATTTCGCCAGCCGGCGAGCTGGCCGTGCTTGACCACCTCGCCGACCGGCGAGCTGGCCGTGCTTGACCAGCTCACGGGATGGCGAGCTGAACCGTCCCATTCAGATCACCGGACCGGCGTGTAAGACCCGATGCTGGTCCATTGAACCCAACCAGATCAGTGTCTTAACCTCTAAAATTTCTATGTTTGATTCCGGTTTTAAGCCTTTATTTAACTAAGTCATTTTAACAAAACTGAGGTTCATACAATCAGAGTTATAAAACAACTAAGATAAGGGAAAACATATTGTATAAATATAAATCAGAGTGATACATAGTATTCATGTGATTCAGTTGCACAATAGGCTATCATAAGTTCAGTACTACATTAAACTACACCTTAACCCACACACATCCATTCCGACCTGAGTCTTCACAGCACCTTGGCCTTGCCACGGTCCTTATCACCACCTGAAACCACACAAGAACAATCACATATATTCATAAGTCCGATAACGTAATACACAAGGCTAATACAATTGCATGGTTCCGGCCTAAAGCTATGTTCCTGCCCAATTTTGGCCTAATTAAAAAGTGCTCCAAAAATTAATGTTAATCTTTGTAAATTACCCAAAAATATTACTAACACGAATCCAAAGTCAGAATCCACAGGAAAAATCATTAACCCTATGATCCGACCCAAAACAGCCCTAGGCCTAAATATGGTTTTTAAGCATATCAACTCCAAATCGTGCCTAGTAGTTTCCATTATTTCTTAAATATTCTAAAACATCTATCCTCAAAGTTTCAAGACATTTGAATCATTAAAAAGTGGTTTGGGATCAGTAAACCCAAATCTGGCCTAAAACAGTCCTATGGAACCAGCCTTATGCTTGGGCCATGGGAAGGCCTTTCTGATCACCAAACTTTCATAGAAACATCAGAAGAGGATGATATATAAGTAGAAAAACAGGAATAGGTGTACCCAGAGTTTCCAGATACCATAAACCACATGTTTTCACACCAAGGGTTCATGTCTTTGGTATAACCGATCCACACCACTAACCTTAGAGGAGCGATCCTTCTGACCACGTTCCTGATACTGATCCTTCTATTTCTGCTTGTTCTTCTCATTCTGTCTGGTATCCATATTCACTGGAATTGAATCCCACGAACACACACACCAGAAAACACCCAACCTTCACACAGTTCTTCACCAAACTTGGTTTTTCTCTCTTTCTCTGTCTCTGGATTTTGGCAGAGTTTTGCCTAAATGTTTCTGATGATTAATCACGTCCAAAGGCCTTATATTTATAGGAGAAGGGTCTGGAAACTCCCCAGGGGCGAACAGGCATGACTGGTTTGAGGGAAAAGGCACAAACTGCCCCTTTGCACCTTTTCACATGCCACCAGTCCCAACTGTCCTTTTTTATCGTGTGGGCCTTTAAACACAGGCCCAGGACGTCCTTCTGAGTCCCCAGCCCACTTGAAAAGACCCACCAGGCCCACCTCCCATCATAGCTCCAGCCTGGCCCAGCCACAGTCCCACCTCGGCCCAGCCGGCCAAGACTCCAACACTCCACTTAGCTGAGCTGAGCTGATTGGTAGCTGGCCCAGCTGAGTGAGCTAGTCCACCAGCTCCTGGGAGCTGAAATACACTGACTGATATGCCTCTGAGCTTTCCCCATCTGCCTGAGCTTCTTCTAAGCTGTACCGAGCTGCCTGAGCTTCCCCGCGGCCTCGCCCAGCTACCATAACACTTGTCCAACTCCCTAATGCTTGTTTCCTTCTTGTTTTGGTTAAGTTTTAGCATCCTGATCCCCTTAACCATGTCTTTAGGCCATGATACACTTGTCCTTAGTTCATATGACCTGACTGGTGCATCTCCCCGCACCATGGCCCACCCCGACGATCCTATCGAGGATTAGGGACATGACAAGTCTCCCCCACTTGGGATGGATTCGTCCCCGAATCCTTGTTGCATGTGTTCTTCAGAAACGAACTAATCATACCACTCCGGGTATTCAGCCTTCATCCTTTCTTCTGTTTCCCAAGTAATGACTTCCTTGCTATTGTATTCCCACACGACCTTAATCATGGGAACTGTCTTCTTCCTTGTTGCCTTCTCTGCTCGATCTAGGATTCGAACCGGCGTTGTATCTAAGGTGAGGTTCTTACCAATACCAGGAGGGATCTCAGGCAATACAATGTCTTGTTTGCCTAGACACTTCCTGAGTTGAGACTCATGGAACATTGTGGAATGCATCCATTTCTGATGGCAAGTTCAATTTGTATGCCACTGCTCCAACTCTCTATATGATCCGGAATGGACCTAAGTACCTAGGATCCAGTTTCCTTCACCCAGAAATCCTGGTCCTGCCCTTGAAGGTTATCATCTTGAGATAGACCCAGTCACCAATCTCAAACTCAAGATGTTTCCTTATTCGGTCTGCGTAACTCTTCTGGCGGTCTTGCGCCTCCTTAATCTTCTCTTGGTCCAGCTTGATCTTCTGTGGTGTCTCCTCAACAATCTCAGGACCCAACAAACTACGCTCCCCCACTTAAGTCCAGCATATCGGTGTCCTGCAGGGTCTCCCATACAATGCTTCATACGGTGACATCCCAATGCTGGTATGAAAGCTCTTGTTGTAGGCAAATTCCACCAGAGGAAAATGTCTTTCCCAGAAACTCCCCCAGTCCATGAAACAAGCCCTTAGCATGTATTCTAACGTCTGGATTGTCAACTCTGACTGGCCATCCGTCTGCGGGTGATAGGCTGTACTCATGTTTACCCTCGTCCCCAAACAGCTTTCCAGAAGTACGAGGTAAACGTGGGATCTCTATAAGAGACAATACTGGCTGGTACCCCATGTAGCCGTACTATCTCATCCAAGTACACCTTCACAATCTCATCAACCCCATCTCCCTTCTTGATTGCCAGGAAATGAGCTGACTTGGTCAAGCGATCGACCACTACCCACACTGCATCCTTCTTGTTTCTGGTTGTAGGAAATCCGGTCACAAAGTCCATGGTAATGTGATCCCACTTCCACTCCGAAATGGGTAGACTTTGTAACAACCCACTAGGAACCTGATGTTCAGCTTTCACGAGCTGGCATGTTGGACACTTTGCCACCCAGTTAGCTACATCAGTCTTCATACGAATCCAGTGATAGTACCTCT